GTCAGAGCCGTTGCAGCCTCGAGCCGCCAGTCGGTTCTGGCAGTGCTGACGTTTTCCCCTCGAGGCTTAAACTGCCCCTTGCAACTTGCAACCCCAGGCCGTAGGTCCAACGAGTGAAGGATTACATCCTAGACCTTAGTCCCGAGACTCTCATGCCGAAACCCTAAAACCCTAAACGCCCCTGAACCTTAAACCCAAACCGGCACCCTTAAAGCTTCATCCGAACTCCAGCGAGTCCCGGTTTGGACCGGTTCACAACTTAGATCCCCATCACCTGACCTTTAAACTTTTTGGTTTCTTATAGTTTGATCATTCGGAAAGTTTAACCTTTCGTTTCTGTGACTGATTAGGGTAGTAGGACAAAAACGTTCTCTTCCGGAATCCTCCTTAGGAACTCATGGGGGCGTTCTCGGAAATGGGGAGGATCCTAAAGGAGACCATGAGCTGCGGAGCTAAGAAATCCTGAAGCCCAGCACCCTAGATGTCCCTAGAAATTTGAACCCTCCAACATTGAATGTCTAAACCTTCCACCCTATTCACTCCGAAAGAAACGAACTTTGCTTGATTCCCGTTTTATCATTCTTTTAAAGACCGGAGGGCTAGCGATCTTCCTCAGGGTGTTGTGTTGAGGGTGTCGTTGAGGCCTAGTGAGAAGGGCATAGTTTGGCTTCTAGGCTTCGCAGGGCCACTGACCCTAAACCAGGTTTTGGGTTTGAGAGCTTCCAGGATTATCCAAGCACAAGCCAGGTTGGTCGAGCGCTTCGGGCAAGTGCAGGACTGGCACCTTCCACAGCGTTCCATGTCCTGTCCTAGCAACAACAGCAAGGGCAGCAATCACATCATTGCAGAACTCGTATCTACAGGAACATACTTCAAGGCACCATACGATTTGCACAGTAGAGGCAAAACCACCCTGACTGTCATCATCATATACTATCATCATCAGTACCGGCGTCAATACCAGAAATGTTCAACATCCAGCATTGTCACCATACCGGGCCGGGGGGCCAGTATCATCACGATGCGCGGTCAATGACAATGACTTCTCATACCGCTGGCTTCAAGGTTTCCCCCATCATCATCATCATCACCACCAACATCATCATCATCAACAACACGCTTGAGCAAACTCCATGCCTGATTCATCAGCACGGAAAGCCAGAACCTGAAATTTTAACGCTCACTTTAAAAGTTTTGCACCGTGGAGCGTGCAGCGTCGGTCAGGACGACGTCCAGTCGATTGAGGCGGAGGTCTTGCGCCGCTGTGAAGACATGGGCGAGGCTGCCACGTCACGGTTTGGCCTTTTTAGGGTTTAGGGTTTAGGGTTTAGGGTGTGTGTGAGTGCAGGATGTAAGTTCTCCCGTCGTCATCAAAAATAAGAGTACGTGTCGTCGCTAGAAGGCGCACAGCTAGAATGTGCGCATTGCCGAGATTTGCTAGTCTTCTTTCCTGCAGTTTCTAATTCGAGCTCTCCCCTGCTTGAAGCCCGAAGCACCTCTTGCCTAGAGCCGTAGTCCATTAGGACCCATTATAGAGGATCCCTCAGAGAACCCTTAACGGAAGCCTAAACCCTGCAGCCTCGCAGGCACAAGCAGAGGCAAAGCTGGCCCAGGACGAGATGTTCGGCCACCTGGCCAAAAGCAGCCGCCCCGTGTTTGTTGGTAAAGCCGAAAGCGAGGAGGGTGCAATAAGAGTGGAGGGATTGAGGGTTCAAGGACTGGGGGTTCAGGATTTAGGGTTCAGGTCTTGGGGTTTAATTGTTTAAGTAGGGTTTAGGGCCACAAACCCTACATTCCAAAATTTGTCCTAACTCCAGAACCTGCAGAACCTATACGCCTGCTGAGCGTCAGAGTCCAGGCTCATTTAGCAGTAAGACATAACTTGAACACGGGCCGAACAGATATTGCCTTCGAGGATTTCTTGGGTCTAGGTCTATCGTAAACCCCAACCCCGCGAAACCTCGAATCCCAAGCCCAAAGCCTCTTAACATTCGGTCCTAAACCTAAACCCTGAACCTTCCCCTAAACCCTTCAACTTTGAACCCCGAATCCTCAACCTCTAAACCCTCAGTTTTATGCCTCAACCCCCTAAACCCCCAACAGGGCAAGCTCGAAGCCCCTCGGACTGACCAAAACCGCCCTGAAATCCTAAACCCTCTTCAACTTTAGACTTTAGGGCCTATGGTTTCTGGTTGATTCAGAAGTCTAGAGCTTGGGGCCTCAAAATCCGTGCACACCTTAAACCCTCAACCGTAAGCCCTGCACCGCAAACCCCAGACCCCAAACCTGGGCCATGAACCGTCGAGCTTTACCGGACAGTTGCAAGCTCCGAGTCCGCGGGATCCTAGGAAACCTTCAAGCCAACATCGGCGATCTGGGTGCCAAGATCGAGGTGTTCGTTCTCTGGTTTAGGGTTTAGGGCCAGCTTAGGGTTTAGGGGTTAGGGTTTAGGGGTTAGGGGTTTCGGGTGTAGGGTTTGGGGGTTTAGGGTATAGGGTTACTTCTCACGAAGTTGTATCAGGGCTTGCAAAAGGTTTCATCATGTTTAGTAGGTTCGTTAGAACGGCTTCGTCGGTTTTGCAAGCGTGTTGCTTATGGGCTTTATAGGTGTAGAATTTAGACAGCGCATGAGGAGGTCGTCAGCTACACGAGGCAGGAAAAGCTCATGGAATGCAGCGAACATGGTGACTTGAAGCGTCAGGCTAAGAGGTGGGCGGCACTTTCGTCCGGAAGCAGGGGCTCACTCGCATGTCCTGTCAACAGCGGAGGAGGCCGATGCCCAAGCAGTTTGCCGCATTTAGGACTTTGGGGTTTAGGATTTGGGCTTGACGACCCCACAGTTTCAAAACGAAGGCACAGTCCCCAAACCCGAATCTCCAAACCTGCTGTACCAATCCGCAAACCCTTAACCCCTGATCGCTTAAACTTTAGAACTGTGACAGGAGAGCCGGGCCACAGAAGGCGACTTGCAGAAGCAGGTCACTGCTGCGCAGGCTGAAAGGGCAGAGGGGACAAGGTCTAGGTTTTAGGTTTTAGGGTTTGCAGGAGGAGCAGGAGGAGGAGGAAGAGGAGGAGGAGGAGGAGGAGGAGGAGGAGGAGGGGAGGAGGGCGAGCAGCAGCAGCTGCTGCTTCAGCAGCAGATTGAGCGCCACGGCAGCCTTAGTAGCTCAACCATCAGCACCGGCAAGAGCAACCATCATTGGAGATGTCGAAGCTTGACGATCCACGTGGCCCACCTTCGTTTCACAACCAGGATCCAGTTGAGAGTAGAGTCTGACTAGAAAAAGGGAACCTCCTCCCGAAGTTTGCGCCGGGGTTAACCGAGGGGCCGAACAATACGTTGTCGGCATTCCTGGAGTTTCCTTAATTAAATCACTAAATGTCATCGTACAAATCCTGCCAGCATCCTGGTCTAGTCGAATAATAAAGCAAGCACTTTCTTGCAAAGGCACTTTGCAATTATGCAGCTCCATTGAACCTTATGAGCCCGGCAAAAAAGTTCCGATGACACCTCTAAATTTGGTTGTGGTGTTGGAAGGCGTAAAGCTAAAGCCTTAACCTACACCCTTAACCCTAACCCTAAACCCTAATCCCTAATTCTCAGACCCTAATCCCTAAACCCCAAACCTTAACCTCAAAAATTCGGGTTTCAGGAAGGTCTGGCGGCCGCCGACAACCGTGCTTCTGCCCTAGAAGAGCTTCTCGCGCAGGCCCGGGGGGAAGGGGGGGGGCAGGGGTTTAGGGTTTAAGGTTTAGGGTTTAGGGAGGGAGTTCCTTTTGAAAACCTCCTTTTAGGCTTGTTTATGAGGGTTCTAGGAAGGGGGTCTGTGGTTTAGGGGTTTAATGGTATTCAGAGGCTCAGGGCTTTCTAGGTTTAGGGTTTCTCGCCGGAATCTGGACCGCATCGTTCTGAGAACCACAAGAAGCCCTGTCCCAGGAAAGCACTCGTGCGAGCACCGCTGAAGAGTCGCTGAGCCGCACTGCCGAGGGGCTGGCGGCACAGCAGGCCAAGCAGGCCGGATCGGAGCTTTCGGGTTTGAGGGTAGGGGTTTAGGGCTTGGGTTTGGGCGTTTGGGGGTTGGGTTTTGAGCCTAGGGTTTAGGGTTAAAGATCTGCTGTGGAGGCTTCGGGGCTGCAGGGTTGAGGGGGCTTTCGATTTGAGAGTTTTCCGGCAAAGGTGTTGCGGTGTTAGAGCCGTTGGGTTCAGGGCGGTAGAGCTCTGGGGCTTTAAGGGTTTCAGCGTGTTGAGGTTGAGGGTTGAATGTTGAGATGTAGAAGCCCCGATCATCAGAAACCCGAGCAGATGCCACAGACTTGGAGTAGACTTTGTTCGAAACAGTCCAAAAGTCTAAACCCAACGTGCTTGCAAGGCTTTCAAACACCTAGCGAGTCGTCGCTTTCGGACTCCCGACAGCCGGAAAAAGGCGCGAACAAAACCGTGAACCCCTGAACCTCACATGGTCTTCTGGTTTTGAGCCCGCGAACACTTAACAGTTCCAAGACAGCGAAGCCTTGACCATGAAGAGGCAAGCAATGCTTAGCCGTTGAGTTTAGGGTTTAGGGTCCGGGGTATGTGCAAGACGTGTATTGAGCGGCTTCCAAGAAGAAGACTGAACTTGCAACGAGCTTTCGGATGGCTTCTTTGTTAGAGTGGCCTTAGCTGTGGCCCGCGACGTTTGTCGTCAAGTGCAGATTATCTGTCAACACGGCCATGGCTTCCGCGCACTGAGCGAAGCTGAAGTCATCCAAACTCTGGGTTCTTGTTACGGCATGACCTTTAAGGAATCCATGTTATTACGCATCTTATAAAGAGCTCCCAGATTATATCCACTTAGATCAAGTTCCTGAACAAGAGCCCAGCAATGCGAAGAGGAAAACCGGCCGCTGTGTCACTTTTTATTTGCCTATGGCAGTTCTGGACTTTCAGCTGGAAGGTACCATGCTTTGCCAAGGGTATAGCAGGAAACCACCGACATCTGCACAGAAAGGTGGAGACGGCGATGGCGATTTGTGGGATGGATGCGGGGCCACGGCCACTGGTGCTTTGTGTCAGTGGCGGATCCGACTCCGTTGCGCTGCTTCTCCTGGTATCCCAAGTGGCAGAGACTAGGTAGGCCTTTGGGACATTTTATATTTTCCCTTATTGGGCTTAAAAGGACCCTATTTACGAAAGTTTTTCAGAGGCTTTAAAGGGCCAACCTAGGAGAAGTACGGCTGGCACCTGCACGTGCTTCACTTCAACCATGGTCTGAGGCCGGAGTCTGCGTCGGAAGAGAGCTTTGTGGAGGGCCTGGCCCTATCTGCCGATGCCACTTAGCAGTGGAGAGAGCAGCGATGTCAAGCTTTCGGCTTCTTTTCTATACTTTTGAGCCCGAGACTTGAGTTTATCGACGAGCACAGTTCTCTCGAAGAAACGGACTTCGTTGTTGTCATGTTAATTTGGAGTTATTGTTCATGTCGTGTGTTTTCGGGCTTAGCTTTTGAGTGATATCTGTGTCACCGCGGTACATATTATGTCGTTACTTGGAACTAAAGCAAGCCCAAAACCCTAAGCCCAACACATCCCAAATACCAACACCCGAAACCCTAAACGTCCCAAAACCCAGCCAAGGCGAAGTTCCACCTTCGAAGGGCCGACGGTGCCCTGGTTCTTTTAGGGAACTTAAAAATGGTTCAAGGTTTAGAGTTTAGGGTATAGGGTTTAGGCTTTAGGTTCAGGGTTCAGGGGTTGAGGGTTTAGGGTTTAGGGGTCAGGGTTTAGGGTTTACATAAGTTGCTAAATTACCATCATAATGGGGGATCTGTACTACTTAATATGGGTTTGACTAGTATGGCAGCTCGGGGTAGACTCCTTGTTATGGTAACTTACATCGCATTCTTGATCATGGTAACTTAAGTCATCGTATGGTAACTTATATAACGTATTCCTATTTATGGTACTTCCCTAAAAAAACCCTTAACCCCCTAAACCCCCTCAACCCTAAACCCTAACCCCCTAAACCCCCTACAACCCCCCTAAGACCCTAAGGGCCCAAAACAGGCGCCAGGCTCAAATCTGCAGCTGGCGGTATGCAGGCAGCTGCGAGGGCATGGCGTCGCCAGGAGGACGGAGATCTACGTCGAAGGCGTTTAAGATAGGTTGAGGCTCTAAGGGAACAGTGCTTTCAGGGTCTAGGGTTTGGGGTTCCCTGATCACTTGATCCCTTGCAGTAAAGCCTTAAAGGAACCCGTAAAGGAAAGTCCTAAACAGGCTTTGCAGCTCCTGGAGAGCTTGGAAGGCTCAGCTGCGTCAGGCTCAGGCGCCGTGCTGCTGGCACACCACGCCGACGATCAGGCGGGCGTTCTAGGTTAAACATAGGGGCCTCAATAATTACCTATACTACCTTGAGGGTTCCTTATTACAAAAAAGAACAGTACAACGGGCCCAAAGCCCTAGTCTAATTATCAAGTCCCCTATATTTGGCAAAGCTGGAGGCTTCCTCTACTAAGGGGTTCATAAGGGTTCTATAACAGTCTTAGGGCTTGGCTTTTAGAGTTTATCGGGTTTAGCCTTTCAGCTGCTTGAGAACCCTAAACCCAAGCAGCTCCAGAGGTGGAGACGCAGTTGCTCAAGCTCCTCCGTGGTGGGCACCTGGCCCGGCTGAGCGGCATGAACTTGATGGAAGGACGCTTCGCACGTCCCCTTCTGGGCATTCGGAAGCAGGAGTTGCAAGCTTTCTTGAAGTCTGTGGCGCACTTAGTGTTTTTGTTGCAAGTCTCAGAAGGGAAGCCTAAGGAAACGCATATGACATCAATGTATGTTACGCGGATATCTTTGTTGCCCGTGAGTCCCTGAGCCTAGCGAGCAATCAGGTGGGGCAGGAGTGGAAGGAGGATGCATCCAACCAGGAACCGGTTTACCAGCGGAACCGCATTCGTCTGCAGCTGGTACCTCTTTTGACTGAGTTAATTGGTGGGGAGGATGCGCTGCACGGCCGTTTCGAAGCTTTGGCGGAGCAGAGTGAGCAGCTGTCGTCGATGTTGGACGATGCCTGCAAGGAGGTGGGAGATATAAGACGTTTCCTTGCACGAGTACACGTCTGCTTATGCCTAATGCTTAACAGCTTTATTTATACATAGAGCCATGAAATACATGCATGCATACACTCTCACACACATATTCATATTGTATATATATATATATACATACGACTAGGGTGTGTGTGTATGCATGTATGTATATTTGTGTGTATATATATATAGAGTAAACAAGTATGTGCACATACAGAATCAGGCTTGGCCCCTGAATGGCAGATATTCCCAGGTGGGGGGGCCTTCCTTCCCTGAGAGTTTTGGCGAGCACGAAGCGGGAGCGGCGGAAGCTCAGGAAGTGCAGCGAGTTCTGGACATTTCGAGCTTCTCGAAGTCTTAAGGCCTAGGTGTAGGGCTTAGGGGCGTCGGGTTCATTTTTTGGGAACAGGGTCTTAAGGTTTCAGGTTTAGGGGCTTAGCGTTAAGTTTCTTGGTATAGGATCTTAGGATTTAGCGTTTAGGGGCTTAGGGTTTAGGCTTTTGAATAGGGTCTTCAGGTCTAGAGTTTAGTTGAGCTGCGTTCTATAAGTGTCGCAAGGACCTTAAGAGGCTAGTCTTATCGGGCTTGTCAAGGGACTTCTAGTTTGTGTATATGGGGTCGTTAGTAAAGTTTAGGATCTTTGGTCTTGACAAGGCAACTTAGCATTGGGGTGCTACAGAGTTGATAAGGGCTTTGTCAGGAATTCTTTGCGACGCTTGCTAGGGCGTTCAGATTCAGTCATCAAGCATAGCCTTTTGTCAACCCGTATGAAATCAAAGGTAAACAACGAAATGCCGTGTACAGCCCCAAATTACCAGACCAGTGCAAAGCCAGCATTTTTGCGAACCCGTATTCAGCTAAAAACCTTGCACAGAGGCCAGATACCAGCAAATCATAAAACAAGCTTGCTTCTCAAGCCTAAAAAGCTTGTGATGACTGGCTGTGCTGGAACCCTACATCCTAAACCTTGAACCCTAAACCCAAAACCCTAAACCCTAAACCCTAAACCCTAAAACGGACATTATCCCAGGCTTCGGGCAGCTCTCGGAGATGGTACGCCAGGAGCTCCTTTGGCGTTTCGTGGCGACCGGCTGCGGGAGCCCTAGTGCTTATAGGCTTTAGGGTTTAGGGTTTAGGGTGCCACAAGGGTCTATGGAACCATAGGTCCACTCTCAAGATCAACTGTCAAAAGGGCTGCCTTCTAATTACCCCCGCTCTTTTGCCTGAGGCGGGAACATGCTGAGCTACCCAGCTGTACGGGCCATTGCAGCCGGCCTCGCCTCAAAAAACTCTTCAGAGCCCTTCACCTGGCCATTGGGGTCCGGTTGGCAGCTTCGGAAGCTGGCGGCAAAGCCGGAACTTGTTCTAAGCCACAAGGAGGAGAGCGAGGAGGAAGCTTGGATCGTCGAGGACCTTCGAGTTCGTCGCAACTTTACACCCGGCCTTTCACTTCGAGTTTCGCGCGATGGGACACTCGAAAGCCACAGCGAGGCGGCCGAAAACTCCTGCCGCTTCCTGCTCGACTTGCCACTGAACGCCACTGTGGTGCTCCGTGGGGCAAAGCCCGGCGACCGCTTCTGCCCCGGCTTGAGCAGCCGGGCGCGTGCCATCAAGCTCACCTACTTCTTGCACCGGGAGATGAAGGTCCCGAGGGAGGCGAGGTATGGATGGCCGGTGATTGCAATCCAAGCTCCGAAGCTGCCGGAAGTGGTTGCAGCTGTTCTGCCCTCCTTCGCCGCCGGCGACTTCTCTGCCACGAACTTCAGTCGCTCGCCTGTTCTTGTGGAGGTGGCCTGGACGGAGCCTTGGCCTGGGCTGGCGACGGAAAAGTCTCAGCCCGAGCTCTCCGCCGTCAGCCGTGGGCCTGAGCCCAACAGCCTACGCCCCACCAACCCCTAGTCGAAAGCAGCAAGCCTGACAAGCTTTGCATCTTGCCTGTGATCGTGGCTGTGTCAGGGTGGGGAGCAATTGGCTTTCGCCGAGAAGTTGAAGGAGAGAGCTGTGTTTGCTCTGGGCTAAGGGCTGATAGAGTTGAGGCTTCAGGGGTTGGGATCCAGGCGGCCCTGGGCATGTGAGATTCAGGCTCTAGCACCGAGGGCTGTATGATTTTGGAGCATGCGGCGCTGCCATGTTCCTGGGGGCCGGGATTGGGGGAGGGGGTGTTGGGCGGAATCGTCTTAGTTTCCTGCTCAGACTCGTGAATCAAATTAGGCTCGACACAATCCTAGACTAGGTTGGATTTTGGGACATTTTCTATTTTCCTTATTTGGGTTTATAAGGGACCCTATATGTAAATATTAAATATCTTTTAGGGTGTTGAAAGGCCCACCCAGTAGAGTCTTGTATTCCTTCGGTTTCCTTGAGAGCTCCTTGTTGTATTTACTGTCAGATGCCAGAGGGCCCTATTCCAACGATTAAGGTCCCTAGAGCATCACCGGAATCCCTTCAATTCTAGGCCTGATCAGATAGTTTACAGTAGCCAAGTTTTTCCAACTACTTAGTAGCTGAGTGGATACACTTTACACTTATTGGGATAAGATAAAACTAAAGTGTACACTTTTTGGGGGCCTATGAACTCAGCAACTAAGAATAACATGTTTCGGGTTTGGGCCAGCCACAGGCAGAGACCCATCAGTTTTTTAAGCCATTGGCGTTGAGATGCATCTTTTTGCCATGGATGCCGTTGTCATGTGAAGCTAGTCAGCTAGTCTATCTCGAGCGGGTTCTTCCTTTTGCGTTCTTGTTTCTTGCCCTACTAGAGGCCCTAAAACCCGCCATTTTCACGGCCTGGAGCACCGTAAGTGGGATGCGAGGACTTGACCCAGCAGATGGCAGACAAATTCCAAGCACAACAGGAGGCAGCCGAGGCTGGTTACCATTTTTATGTGTTGTTTTGTTGTTTGTTTTTCGGTTTGTGTTTTTGTGTGTGAGACAGAGTCTGTATGTGTGTGTGTGTGAGTGTGCGTGTGTGTGTGTGTGTGTGTGTGGAAGTAAGTAAGTAAGTAAGTAAGTAAGTAAGTAAGTGTATGTGTATGTGTGCGTGCAAACGAGTGTGTTTGCATTTCGTGTAGTGATTTATCGTGTCGCGTCTCGTTTTCGCGGTTGTTGTGGCTGAGGGTGTTGGCGTGTGATTCAGGCGCTTACCGTTCCGGGTCTATAGGATTCCAGGATTTGGAATTTTAGGGCATGTAAGGCCTTTACTGCACGATGGCTATAGAAGCTGAGTCTGGGGTTCTGGACTGATGATGCACTTGTGGCACAGGGTCTAAGATGTAGGGTGTGGCTTTCTAGAGTTTGGGTACGAACATGCCAACAAACCCTAAAACTTACATCTTCATTTGGAATGTTTTTTCAAGGAACTTGAAGTTCGTGCAGTGTTGGCAGATAGGGTTTTGCTGTGAGCGCATGGGCTTGTCCTTAGGTTTGCCCCAAAACCCCAATGCCAGGACCCTAAGTTCTGAGAGAAGCTAGAGGCCCATCAAGATCTTCAGTCTGAACCCTGGACCCTAAACCCCTAAACCCGACTATACACCCTAATTTTAGCCCTGAAAGTCCTGCTTTGAGCCCCAAGCCTTGAGTTAAGCCCTAAACCCTAACTTAAGCCCAGAACCTAACTTAAGCCCTAAGCCCCAATCCCGAATAAACCCCTACCAATGCTCCCAGGCACAGCAGGCCAAGCTAGAAGCCCAGCTTGAGAAAGAGCAGAAGACAGCGCAGGCTGCAAAGGGATTTCGGGAATTAGGGGTTTGATAAAGGGGCCTCAATAATTACCTATACAATTTTGGGGGTTCCCTTCTATAATTATATAGTATAATGTGCCCCATATTAGGGTCTAGGGTTTTGCGTGAGTGGGCTTTAGAGGACTCAGGCTTATGGAACCGTTTCTCACAGAGCTTCGTGAATTAATTGCCTTCCTTCTGATGATTAAGTGAGGGTGGCCCTCGAGAGTTTAAACGAGGGTCCTTATTTTCATGCAAGAAGCCTTCCAAACTTGGGGGAAGCATTCCTCAGTGGAGGCCTATCCTTTAAACTCTTCATATGTATTCTTTTAACAGTGTTGGGCTTGCGTACACTGCATTAGCTCATTTATCCCAGTTGCTGCTGCTCATTTTTGGGGGGTTTAGGGTTCGATCTTGATGGTGTTCTCTCACGCCCGATGATTCTAGGGTTTCACAGTGTTTTGGGCTCGAGTTGTTCGACTCCAGAGGGCTCTAGACTGTTCTATAGTCTCCTTAAGACTTATTTTGTCATTTTTGTTCATATAGAACCCAAGAGAATATAAAAAATGCAAATGTTTAATGGTTCTAAGGGGGGGTGTAGTGTTGGGTTAAAAGCGGCATTGGGGTTTCTGTAGCTTTACGGTCTATAAGGTTTCGGATTCAGGTTCCGCGGGCTGAGGCCTTTGGGATTGCATGGCTTTGGTTAGGGGCCAGAGGAAGCACTAAGCAAATACCAGGTAGGTATATATCAGTATATCCCATAGGACTCCGCCACTTATTTAATGCCGATAAAAGGTAGGGATATCACTGTAAAGTGATTATGCTCATGTCCTCTTTATCGCCCCTGGTGGTGGTGGTGGTGGTGGTGGTGGTGGTGGTGGTGGTGGTGGTGGTGGTGGTGGTGGTGGTGGTGGTGGTGAGAGCTTTGATGGATTCCTTGCAAGGGTGATTATGAGTCAGTGTTCGGAAGTGTTGTAGGTTGGCACGACCAGGGCTCAGCTGAGCTGTTTTCTTGAGCAATTGATTTACCCACAGGCTCACATGTAGTTCCTTTCTTGTGAGGGGGGCACCTTGCTCTCATTTTGGGATCCTAATCATGAAGTCGAATTGTGCGGATCAGGAAACGAACTACAGTGGATAGTGTAGGTAGGGTCTGTTTCACAGCTGATATTTCAACAAGGTCCCACGTATCGGCTTCCCTAAACCCCAAATATGCAGAAGCGACCCAACCAATGCAGAACGACACTAAGGGTTTAAGGTTTCAGGTTTCCGGGGTTTCTAGGGTTTTGAGGCTTTCCAGGGTTTCTAGGGATTGTAGGGTTTCTAGGGGATCCTTCTTCGACCTCCCAAGACTCTTAACCCTTTCTGTGCCGAGCAGGACAGCCAAGAGAAGCTGAAAGAGGCGATCGATGAAGCCAGAAAAGCCGCAGAGGCTGTGCTTATGTGGTTTCTTTGGAACATGTAGGGAACCTTACACTGTAAGCTCTACACCCTAAGCGTTAAATGTTTACATGGAGTAGCGTGGGCCTTTGCGATCCTGAACGCGGAGCATGCTGTTGTATGACGATTGAATGGTTTGCTTCAGAAACGGCAAGTCCTAGACGGGTTCTAAAACCTTGGTGCACTTGGTGATAGTCGTGTAAGTACCCTAAACCCTCCCACGACCCCTAAACCCCTATTCCTTCAAGAAGTTTCGCCGTCTGTCGGGATATATCGGCTTCAGCGAGTTAGGTGTGTGCAAAGTTTGGGACTTTGCGATTAGGCCCTTGCAGGGTTTGTGATTTCGATCTTTCCGGTTTAGGGCTTGTTTTGTTTTTTCGGGTTTGAGGTTTCTGTAAACCCTAAACCCTAAACCGTATAAATTACGGTTTCTTTAACCTAAACCCTAAACCGTATAAATTACGTTAAGTTCCTGTTTCGAGCGCTTTTGAAGTTTGTGTCTTGGCAGAGGGACCGCTGGGGACCCCGAGTCTATCCCCAAATCGAAGAAAAGTTAGGGGTACTTAGAAATAATAATATTTTTGCTAGGGTTTAGGGTTTAGGGTTTAGTATAGAAAACCTAGACCCCGAGTCCTGAACCCTCCACCCAGAGATCCCAATACCCCTTATTAAGGAAAATAGTTTAAACCATAATATTACAGTGTATCCTTAAGGGAAGTCTTATATGGTAACCCCTTGAAGGTATCCTGAAGCCTCCACCCCGAAAAGCCCTAAGCCCAAACGCTCTAAAATCCGAAGTTCACAGATCCTGAATTTGTATACAAAGGATTTTCTGGGGCTCTCCACCCTCTGCCCTTTCCTTCAAGCGGGTTCAGATGGTGTAGGCTTCGAAGTGCCCTCAAAACCCCGTATGTCCCTCGTTGGAAGCCCTCCAGTCCAGAAGGTTTAGGGTTTGGGACTTTAGGGTGTTAGGACTGTAGGGTTTTGGGTTTTTAGCATCCGAAGAACAAGCCTGAAGCCCTCCAGAGTCGTGAGAAGCTCATGCCTGAAATCGTCAACCCCGAGCCCTTAACGAGCAAGGCACAGGTGAAGGAGGAGCAGGGGCGAGCGACGGAAGCCGAAACTGCCTTGCGAGAAGGCGCTTTGGCGGAGCACGCGGGAGGAACTTGGGGTTTGGGGTTGAGACAACCTGGACCCTAGGCCCCAAACCCCGAACCGCATACTATAGTGCGCATGTAGCGTTTCGAAGTTTATGGCAGTTTATGGCTTGAAGAGGTTAGGATTAGGGCCGCTCAATCCTAAACCCCGAAGAGTTTTTGGGTCAAGGAGGCCTGAAGTTCAGAGTCGTGGACATCAGGTAGTAGAGATGCGAGGCTTGGGGTGTTAGTACATGGGGATTATAAGTAAGGCCCCATGGTAGTTCCTTGTTGGGATTCATATATATATATATATATAGAATCCTATAAGGTAATCCCAAAAAGGAACTACAACGGAGCCTTAGGGTATAAGTAAGGCCAGTGTGGTTATCATTGCTGTTATCTCCAATGAAGGTACTTGTAACCTGACTTACTAAGTCCCATGGCCCTTCAGCTTGGAGTGAGACCGACAGCTTAGCTCAATGTGGAGGCCAATAGTAAGTATCTCCTTTGAGTTCCTTTTCGATATTTTTTAGAAGCTACTGCCCAAAACCTGATTGTTACTACTATAAGGCCCCTACATTAGGTTCTACCGGCCTCAACC